TTATTTATTATCACCACAAAAACATATTAATGATCGGCAAATTTCACCACTTGTTTCACAGATCACGAATTAATATACTCAAAATATGTCAGGTGCAGGGACGATGATTTTCTGCATAGCGCAGAATGCCACAGAAATCACAGAATGTGTGTTTAAAAATGGAAATACTATAATGTACTGCAGAATATCACAGATAAGATAAAAAAGGGAATTTAATAAAGTGTAACATGATAATCAAAAAATTTTTTTTTTATGAATAGAAGAAGAAAAAGTACAAGAACGGTTACAATTAATACCAGAGTGAAAGAAAATCCTGGCGAATTTCGCATTGATGACGGAATTTTATTTTGTAATTTTTGTGACCATTCTGTTGATTGGATACGAAAGTCGACAGTTGATGACCATCTTAATAGTAAAACACATAAAGCTAATAAACAATATCAACATCAACGTCAACTTCAACGTCAACATCAATGTCAACATCAACAAACGCTTGTTACCACTATTTCTTCTTCTGAATCTAAAAAAACAATAATTCATGATTTAATTGAAGCCTTTGCTATAGCAGATATTCCTTTAGAAAAAATTAACTCTTTACTTAATTTTTTTAAAAAACATTGTAAAGAAGGTGGTGCTATTCCACAAGCGGCAACATTACGTCAGTTATATGTACCTCGCATTTTTTTAATACATTTAGAAAATCTTAAAACTCATTTTAGTCAAAAACCTGTTGCTATTATCATGGATGAAACTACCGATGCTTGTCAAAGAAGTGTAGTTAATACTCTTTTTGCATACCGTAAAAATACAAAATTAGTTTCTGTAGACTTTCTCACACGTGTAAATAATGTAACTATGGGTCAAACTCTTATTAATATTCTTCCAAAATATGATATTCCTATTACTTCTCCTCGCCTTTTTCTTACAGATTCAGCTGCATATATGAAAAAGTGTTATCGCGAAGTTTTACATCCTATAATGCCACAATTAATTCATATTCCTTGCTGTGCACACATTTTAAATTTGATTGGGTAAGATTAAGGTATTTTATTGTATATAAATATTAAAATCTAAAATCTAATAAATTAATTTTTGTTTTAGTGATACTTGGCGTACATTTAATTATTTTTCAGTAATTAAAACATTATTAGAAAAAGTTAAAGAAACATTCACTAGAAGTCCAGCACGTCGTCGTCGATATATGGATCACTTACGGTTTCATGGAGTTAATCAACCACGAAAAATTCCTCTTCCTTGTAAAACACGATGGAATTCTTGGTTTGAAATGGTTTATTATACTAAGGATCATCTTATTTATTGGCCTGGATTTTTTCAAGCTGAGAATGAACTTGGCGAAACAGAAACGTTAAAAACCATTATATCTCTCCTTTCACAACAATTTGGACTCATTACAATCTATATCAATTTTATTTCTATTTTTTCTCATCAATTTGTTCAAACATTGAATTTTTTTCAACAAGAAAAACCAGTATTTCCTTTTATTGAAAATCAACTACAAAGTCTTTCAGCATATATAGAAAGTAACATGGTTGCAACAAGTTTTTTTAATTTGGATTCAATAATTATCAATTGTCATTTTCACCCAAATGAGTTTTATCCTATTTTCCAAAAAGCATTTGAAGTGGCTCATGAAAAGTTTGCAGCACATATTCCTTCTC